AGTACCAGGCTGTTTTCAGTACTGTAGCTCTGTAGTAGAGTTTGAAGTCAGGGATTGTGGTGCCTCCAGACGTTCCTTTATTGTACAGGATTGTTTGGGCTATTCTGGGTTTTTTGCTTTTCCATATAATGTTGAGTACCGTTCTTTCGAGGTTTGTGAAGAATTTTGCTGGGATTTTGCTGGGCATTGCATTGAATCTTTAGACTGCTTTTGGTAAGATTGCCATTTTTACTATGTTAATTCTGCCTACCCTAGAGCATGGGAGATCTTTCCATTTTCTGGTGTCTTCTTCAATTTCTTTCTTCAAATATTTAAAGTTCTTGTCACATAGGTCTTCTACTTGTTTGGTTAGAGTTACTCCAAGATATTTTATGTTATTTGTGGCTACTGTGAAGGGTGATGTTTCTCTGATTTCTTTCTCAGCCCAAAACTTCTGCTCATATAAAAACAGTCTTCCTACTTCTTCTAGGGCCCAATCCCTGAATCTCTATCCTTACACATTTATTTATTCTCCAGGTTCACAGGGAGATTCTCGGTGTCCCAGTTTTGTCTTTAAGCTAGACAAATTATAGAAGAAAAGACTTCTAATAGTTTTCTACTATCGTCCTTCAGTATCTAAGTATTGAGTTCGTACTTATTTGGATTGTATTAGAATCCTTGATTTAAAAAATTGCTATTTGAGAGACTGGAGAGATGGCTCAGTGGTTAAGAACACTGGCTGCTCTTCCAGACAACCCGGGCTCCTTTCCTAATGCCCACATGACAGCCCTTTGTTAACTCCAGTTCCTGGGGATCTGATGCCTCCTCTTGGCCTCTGTGTGCTCCGGGCACGCATATGGTGCACAGAAATACATGCAGAAAATATCCATACACATAAAATAATAATAAAACAATTTTAATTGCTATTTGAGTTGCTGACTTGAATTTCACTTAAAAAAATCAAAAAGAGGTTGCAAGTAGACAAAGCTTACGATCCCCAAACTGCTCCCTAACTTCCTCTGTTTCTCTACCTTCATTCTTGTGGGGGAAGGCAGTTGTGTTCGGCTTCCTGCCCATGCTGGGGAACATTAGATAAAATTCCTTTGAAAGGTCCTACAGATTAGGCGGTTCTGGCCTAATCGCATGAGGGTTTATCTCCCACTGCTTTAGATCAGCAGAACTTCCTGTTCTGCTCGTACTCACGTCAGTGGCTCCGAGCATGCCTCCAGCTTTCTGCTGGAGTAGGGTCAAGGTGAGAGTCTTCCACTGAAGCCATATTGCTCGGACTAGCTCCAAAATGGATCTTTTGGCCATCAAGGCATTTCAAGGAACTCTATCTATGCAGGGTCTCTTCTCTGGCTGTAAATAAATGCTAGGCTACTTTAAGAGTACCGCCCCTCCCTACCCCTATCCCCACCCTGTCTCCCCTGTGTGTTGTCTTATCCTGGATGACTTCAAATCGTGCATTGGTCTCTTCCTTGGCAAACATCATTAATCACTCTTATTATTGCCTCTAATGAAGAACCATTAGAAAAGAGGTGGGCGATGAGATGACTTAGAGGATAATAAAGGTGTTTGCTGTCAGGTCTGGAGGAGCTGAGTTCTATTCATGGAACTAAAGAAAAGCTGGAAGGTGAGAACTGATTCCAAAAATCAGTTATTCTCTGAGTGCCAAATGCACGCTGTAGCATGTGTGCCCCTTTCCTATACCACACACTCACACAAATGCACGCTGTAACATGTGTGCCCCTTTCCTACACCACACACTCACACAACAAAAATGAATCTTTTTTTTTTTTTTAAAGTGGAACTAGCCAGGTAGTGGTAGTGGCACACACCTTTAATCCCAGCACTCGGGAGACAGAGGCAGGTGGATCTCTGTGAGTTCAAGGCCAGCCTGGTCTACAGAGTGAGTTCCAGGACAGCCAAAGAGAAGCCCTGTCTTGAAAAACAAACAAAGAAGAAGAAAAGTGGAACTGAAGGAGAAAAGGATGGTGCTGCAGTAAAGGGTGCTCGCTGATCTTGCAGAGGACAGGAGTTGATTCCCAGTATCCGGATAGGGGTGACAATGGCGGTGGTGTGGTGGCTTAAATTACCAGTAACTCTAGCTTCAGGGCCTCTGACACCCTCTTCTGGCCTTCAAGGGATCTGCATACACTTGATCATACTGAGCACATGTACTCCCACCTCCCCACACAGAAAATTATAAACCTTTTTTAAAAAGTGGGTTTAAAACTAAATTTTAAAAGAAATGGAACTGAAAAGCCAATCTAACTTGTACTCAGTAAATTGCTGTGACTGTCTGGCCCACCACAGGACAAAAAGTCCACCTTTATATAAAGTGAGTCAAATCATAAAAACAGATTCCCCTCCCCTATAGCCCAAGGAAATCCTAGATACAACACAACTATGTGGCTATTGCCAGCAAGCCCTGGCCATACCGTATGGCAAATTCGGCTATATCAAGCAGGTCATGGCCACTTTTTCATGTGAAACTCCATGTGACAATCACATGGGGCTGCTGGGCACAGACTACAGAGATACCTCACACAGCAGACACATCTGCAAATGTGTCACCATTCTATGTCATGTAGACACAGAGATGCCACTGTGGCTTCAAAAACACATTTAGTCATATGCTCAGATAGCAAAAGATTCCCGTCTGAGCATGATACCACAGCCATGGTCCAAGCAATGGCACAGAGACAGGGTCATCACATGAAATGGATCTTCTGCAGCTTGTCCCAGATAACGGTGGGATGAGAACAAAAAGTGTGAGGACCAAATAACTATACAAGCATTGAAAATCCTGCCTAACCAAAGCCATCTGAACATTAAACATCACTCTTGGGACAAAAGTCAGCGGGCCGCAGCGGGCATTGGGAGATCCTAACCTTGGATGGTCAGGGAATGGCTAGCAGGCTGTCCTTCATGCTGCCCTGTGGAATCCCAGCCACCCACCACCAGCTGCTCTTCTCAGCGTATTTCCTGGTCAGCTGTGATCTGAACTGAGGCTATGTCATCAGGTCTTCTTACCTCACACCTGCGGCAAGTCTGTCTTCAAGGCCTTCCTGTCATGGGGCCTCACGGGATGGGAGAAAGTTGGGCAGAACAAAGGGACATTAAGACCTCTCTGTCATGCTGAAGATCCTGAACACAACAGTGCAACAGGTGACATTATAGGACATGTCAAGTTCAGTCAAGATGTGACTTCCCGCCACCATTAGTCTGGTTGGGATGAAAAGGTTTGGCTCAAGGACCAGGGGCAGTGGGTCCCTACGGAAGTAGCAGACAAGATGTTTCCTGGAAAGCTCATGGAGGGTGTATGGGGACATTTCACCTGTTCTGACAATACCTTGACAGGAACTAGCACAGCTGAAGGGAGGATTTGTCATCCCAGAAGTCCCTCTCATCCCACACTCCCATTGTAAGGGCTCTGTCTCTACACAATGACTTGGAATTTCCCAAGACAAACTGGACTCACCAAACTAACTAGTCAGGGTGCCGAGGGACAGCACAGTCACCCTCAGTTGTCTGTTGGCAGAGCGAGGTGACATTTGTGTTATGCTGACACTGGTGTGCACATAATTTGAGGAGGGAAGAAACAGCTGGAACAGATGTCTGCTCGGATAGGATGATTATCAGCTATACATCTGGTAGTCCCTCAACACCAATTAAAAAGGACTTATTCTTAACGACAGTGGTGACACATGCCTTTAATCCCAGAACTCCAGAGAGAGAAGCAGGCAGATCTCTGTGAGTTTGATGTGAGCCTGGTCTACAGATCAAGTTCCAGGACAACCAGGACTACACAGAGAAACGGTCTCAAAAAACAAAACACAAAAAACAGTCATATTCCAGACACATGGGGTTCTTAGTTGAGTGGAGGTCTCTTCTTGATCTGGTTTTCCTGGTGATCCTAAGTTATCTCAAAATCAGAGGAAAGCCCTGTCTCCAAGGGCACCCAAAGGGGAGGCTAAGCAGGCCTTATCAGCCCAAGCTGCCCTCCACATTTGTCCTGCTGGATGTGATGTGTTGTGGTGGCCTTTGAGGGAGAGCTAGACTGTAGTCACATGCAGTTCCCTACTGTGGGGATCACGTAAGAACACCTGGATGCTTCTCCGGCCTGTGCTGTGGGACTCTCCCACTGCACCACTGGTGTCTAGCTCTCAGCACACCCCCAGATCTTTGTCTTCCATTGTCAAGTGGGGAGGGATGAAGAGAAAGTCTTTCCTGACAGCCTGAGCAGGATGCTGGCAGTTGACCTCATCCACGCTGGCTGCATTTGTACGTCTGCTGGCCATGGGGTGGGTGTGGCTGAGAAATTGTAGGGGCTGTAAGAAAACAAGTGTCACACTCACGCCTGGTGTGTCTTGTTTACTTTGGGTGATCTTGAATCAGGCACTGGTAGATACTTTATCTGCCTGTTGATTTTGGCCACAGAGCCCAGCCACCTGTGAGAGACGCAATCTCTGCACCTTGTCCACTGTTCTGAGCGACCAGCACTCGCGCTCTGATCTCTGGAGTTCCTGTCTGCGAGTTCTCACCATTTTGGGCTCTATTTTGCCATCCTCTCATCTCATGTTTTGATTCAAGATTACAGCAATCCAGTCCCCCCCCAAACAAAAAAGCACGTCCTTGGCACCAGTCACATTATGTGGCACACACTATGTATGCGGACCTTCTGAGTGTGTGGTTATTTTTAGTGAGTTGAACAATATCTTAGTCTGTTGCCATTTGGGGTCAGTGGTTTTCTGAAGTCCTTCATGAGGCAAGGGGCTGAAGGTACAGCAGACTTTGACATCAGGAGGAAGTGGAATGTAGTGAGGATGGTGGGTACCCATTGCACGAGAGACTCGTTTGAGGGCCACATACTTCCATCGTTGGAGTTCTTTGATTCTTCTGCATACCCAGCTCCATTCTACACCAAGGTCTTATTTCCAGAAATAAATTACACCCTCCACACCCAGTCATTTTTGTGGCCCACTTAATTATGTGTGGCTTTATGTGTTATTTTTCAGGGTTGAGCAAGACTCAAGTCATCTGGGAGAAATGGCATTTACCATGAACTGAAGGAAGCCCATCCATGTTCAAGACAAACATATAAGCCAGATACAGTGCCATGCTGGAATCCTATCTACAGAGGAAGCTGAAGTAAGAGGGCTGAACATGTTCAAAGTTTGAGGCCAGCTTGAATTACATAGTGAGATCTCATGTCAAAAAACAAAATCCAGTTAAGATTTATCAGGGAACTCTCTCCTGACCCAGCCCTACCATTTTAACATGTTCCTCCCTGAGCTCTTTGGCAATTTGATATGCACTGGTTTTCAGAAAGCTTTTGGCAGGGTTTCTCTGTAGCCTGGAGTCTGTCCTGGAACTAGCTCTTGTAGACCAGGCTGGCCTGCTTCTGCCTCCCGAGTGCTGGGATTAAAGGCGTGCACCACCACTGCCTGGCCAGAATATTTTTTGATGATGCTTATTCACTAGACTTTAAGCTTGTCTCCCCAGCTGTCTCCCCAGCACTAACCCAGGGACCATTTCTCTAAGTTGGGGACCATGTCCTTTTCCCCAGCACTAAGCACAATGGTGATGATCGGAGGAATTAACAAGCAGCCAGGGCTGGGGTGCTTAGCTCCCTGTGCTGGTCTCCTGGGTGCGGGGTCAACAGCTTTTATAAACAGTTCCCCATACTCGACGAACAAGTGTCCTGGAACCAAAACAAGAAATCAGAAACAAGTCAATTTCATGAGAATTCTTTTTCTAAACTTGGCTCATGAATGGACAAACTCACACCTGACATGAAATTAATTTATAAATCAATTTATTTACAGATTTCATCTTAAAGTACATTTTAGTTAACAAATCTATTTACACAGCTATACATGGGAATCCATCCCAGTTATTTTACAGATTACTTACAAACCACACCCTTCGTCTTCTGTGCGGAGCTGCACGGGTGTGACTATTGGCTGAAAACGGCCTGATGACCAGGCTATTTACACACACACAGTAAACGGGTTCATTTTTCATGTCTGCACAGTACAGTACACACAAGGAGGCTGAGCCCCCTAGAGATTGCAATGTGTAACCAAGAAGGCTTTGCAAAGTCCAGAAGGAAAAGCTTTTAAACACAGGTTAATTAAAATGACAGTACCTCCTTTACACCAGTTTACATTTTTCTTCACATTTTTATAATACAAAGATTTTATTGAATTGCTGCACAACCAGTTTAAGATGATTTGTAAACATGTAAATTCCTACAATTTGCATTAAACATCATTGTAGTTTCTATCACTTGCTCTTTGAATTACGTTTTATTCACTAGTATTCTTAAGGTAGTAAAAGGAAGATGTAAGTTTGAATTTCTTGCAGAAAAGTTATGAGTCTCTAACGCTGTGCTACAGAAATTCTTTTGCAAGTACACACTTTATTCAAGTATTGCAAAAAGCTAAGGCCACTTTTTTTCAAGACAAGAAAGTGAACAAAATTGTTTTTATCAATAGGCCACAACACTCTTATGAGCAATGCAATCTCTTTTGAAAGGTAATTTCTCAGAGACCTGTAGTCACAGAAGGAATTCCCCTTCCTTATTAACTACTTTTTGAGCTCTTCCCACTTTTCCCTAAAGAAAAATTCCTGTTTAGACCTGAAGAGGGGATTGATACCCTGTACTTGTTTAACCCAGAGGTAACTGCCCTGGGTAGCACAAATTGTTTTGGACTCAGAAGTAAATCTGAAGCCTGCATGGTGGTTTACTACTAGGTTCTGACAGTGCTATTCTAAACGGTGTTACTGCTGATGCAAAGATCTTCGAGAGGAGTTATGCAGAGAGACAGAAGGGACAGAAGGGAGAGGGAGCAAAGATTAGAAGAGGGAAGAGTAGGTTCTTGGTTAGGAGGCAGGGCTTCATTAAAAAGATCCCATTATGGAACGAGTGGCTGGGTATTCACATTTATCATTCCTGATCCTATCAATAAATCTATCTCTGTTAGATCCAAATAGTTAAAACAGTAAGAAACCCTAGATTCTTTTGATGTTTGCTATCAAGCTGTAGATATGATTGCTAGCAAAGGATGAGACTGGTCTATTCCTATCTCTTTTCTGGAACGCGAGATTCTGGGATAGTGAAGACAGCTGGAGGAGGTTAGGATGGTCACAGCCACGGTCCAGCAGTGTCCAGATTGCTGAGTCCAGGGACTTATATCAGTATGTTTTTCCTTTTCTGGCATTTTAATGTAAAGATACACTATTAAAAATTAACTTTAGGTCTAAATAATGAAGAGTGGAAAACAAGCTATATTCCTATTATAATTTGATCTTCATTTGTAAAAAAGTATAGCAGCTGTAAAGTTCAGTATCATAAAGACAATGTGATCCTACAAACAGTCAAGGGATGTACACAAGATGTTTCCTGTCTTCCAAAGAACACAAACTGAGGAGAAATATCTTTGCTTTCCTTGGCCACATGAAAACACTATTTCCACACTACTGGTAAATAACCTCAAGAATCCTTTCCTTCTCTTACTCAAGTTGCTCGTTATGGCTAAAGACAACAGCTCAACAGCAAATGCACAGAGGAGATGCTGATGAGACACCCACCTGAGCATTTAGGAGACCCAGTTGTAACATTTCAGTGCTTTCCTATTGTCAAGAGCTAGCACACCAGTCACTGTGCAAAATGCAAATATCCCAATGATGATTTCAGCAAATCTCATGTAATGACAGGATGAAATTGAAGAGGAATGAAGTGTGCATAGTGAAATATCTGAGACGCAAAGGCAAGTCTGGAAGAGAGATGCAGAAAACAACAAACGTGCACACTTGAAGGGTTACGCTGTCTTTGGGTTTTCTAATGTCTTTTGAAGAAGCCGTAAAGTCCAGGATATCTGTAAGTGTGAACCTGGTGGATGTCTTACCATGCTGCTCTAGTCCGAACTGTAAGGTTAAGGCATTTCCATTCACGCCTAAGATCATCCATATTCTCCGGGATTACTTGAAGGACAGGACTGATGGAGAAACCAGTCTAGAAGGCAAGTGATCAGGGCCCGGTGAGCACCGAGTGCTTGGATGCAGCAGCTGGAGTCTGGAGACTTTTCTCAGGTACAATTGTGAGATCCAAGGGAGGCAGGAGTAAACTTTCAAGTCCCTTCCTGCTCCTGCTGTCACAGGTGACACTGTAAATGCCTGTCATCGTTCTGATGAACTGAACTGATTCTTCAGTGTGTGTACACATTTATTAGAACTGCAGCTTTCTTTCCTGTGCGAAGACTAAACTGTAGAAACTTCGAGACAAAGGTTTGCTATTATGAGAATCTCACTTCTCAATAGGGACACACATCTTCAACTTAATAATTTATCTTAAAATAAATTAAAAAATGTTCCACAGAGCAAAACAAGCACGCAGACTATAGACAATATCTTCTTGTCTTTGGTGCACACACTCATTTCCTAAGTCATTCAAGTAACAGCATTTGACTTCTGGGGAGAGATGGGAATTCAAAGTTTGAAGGCCAAAATGAACTCTTTCCACTTTTGCCATGCTTGGATGCCTGAGATGGTCCTGAGTATCTACAATTCTGAGAGCAGCTGGTAGAGGTTAGGGCAACTGAGAAAAGAGTAGGGAGGGACAGGCAGAGGAACCAGCCCATGGCAGTCCTGGAGCCTCATCTTCAATGGGGCATTTGTTTTTCGCCCAGAGAGGAAAATTAAACACAATGCAATGGGTTATGGTTTTTTAGGTGGTGCCCAGACAACAAAGCACCACTTATTTCTGATGTCCACGTGGTGCTGGTCAGCTTCAGGATGGAAGGAACGGGGTCTTCAAGAAGAAATAAACTCCAGAATGTGAATAGGCAGAGAATCTTGAATTTGCCTATTTTAGAAGTGGTTATGGGTTTAATACTGTTCACAGACTACAATGTCCATTTATGACTTTCTTTATACAGACCAGTATTATATTTTGAAAGTTAAAAGATTAACTTATTTACCTCTCTTTCCTGATGAGACTCAAGGAAGTGATGGCCTTGTCTAACCTCAGAGGTAAGTCTGGTGTTCTCGGCCCTCATCTGAGACCTAGTAGGGTGCTAAGGAGGTGAATGATGACACCAAATCTCAACATTAGGAGTGTAACCCTGCCCACGGGAAACAATCACGTACTCCTGTGGACGGTCTGTAAAGGCAAAGGTTGTAATACCAGATATACCACATTGTCCCATGAACTCCAAACCAGCAGTCCACAAGAACAGGTGCGAGGTCCAGCAGCATTCTTGCTATGGTGGAGACGGGTGTGTATCAGGAGGCAGAAAGGCCCAGGACTCGTGTTAGCACTCAGTGTTCGATTTATTTGCAAGATGTCACACAAGTAGCATTCTCCCCTGTTTTTCACTGATCTGATTGAGAACATCAATAGTATCTTTGATCAAGGTCTCAAAGATCCCATCAGCCAGCTGCATCTTCACACACAATTCATCCTCATCATAGTTTACCCACTGTGCCTCCTCCTCGTGGAGCTCCTGGACCTAGACATTAGAAGGCAGTAAGTTAGCAAATCTGTCCCACAAGAGCTTGGAAATATCTCCCATGTTATAGCCCCACCCACAATAATATGTCCCAAAGAAATAATGTCAATATACCTTTAAAATTGACATCTAAACTAAAAATAGCTGTGAAACTACATTTCAACATGACATTATTCCAGCACTTTGTAAACACTAAGAATTACATGTCCACTGTCTGTGTTAACATAAGGGAATGCATATAGGAGCTTACGGGGAAGAAAACCAACAAGTTTAGATGCACGCACTACGATGAAAAACTGCTCATCCAACAAATGCTGGCTATGGTTCTACAGTATTCTAAAAACATGAAAGCCAGCCATGGTGGTGCATAGCTGTGAGTCTAACTCTTGGGAGGCTGAGGCAGAAGAAGACAAATTCAAGGTCAGAAAGACTATATAAATATTTTTACAAATGCAACACTGCTTAAGCTTATTTTTAAATTGTTTTAATAACTTGCTCTTTTTTGTATTTTAGAATTTTTGGAATTCCTAGGTAAATGAAAACTAATCAAATCAGAAGTAAATCTTCAAGGTTTATTGCCTACTTATAAATGTAAATAACTATACTCCAAAGACACACACACTGGCCTCCTTACAGTTATAGTGGGATGGAAGCCAGGTGGAAAAGCCCTGACCTAGTTCCAAATTCATCAAAATTAGCTACAGTTACAGGGTCATTCTAGTCTAACAACAAAAAAAGCCAAGTAAAGGTTCCAGTTGTCCTGGTTTTGGTGTCATCTGGGAGAAGCAGAGTAGGTGGGGGAACTACTTAGTACTTCAGCTCCTTTATGAAGCAGTAACATGGCAGAGGCCCCAGCATGGAGGTGGACAGGAGGGAGAGCAACACATTCCATGTTTACACACTTAAGGTTGGGCTTGACACATCAAAAGGAAGCAGCCTTCTTCTTTTCCTTTGAAGGAAGGCTTCAGGCCTTACAAATATCCAAACCTCTGTTCCTTAATTTATACTCTGTGGAAGAGATGGCTATTGAAGAAGGTTCTATAACCAAGCAAATCTAAGGGAACTCATTCTCAATGAATACAATAAATATAGCATATTAAAGAGAAGTCTGTCCTTAAACTAGTTTAATTCAGTTTCTTCTGTCTACTAGGCCACAGAATTCCGCCAATATAGAAGATATGGATTCAACTTAGCAAGGAACTTGTATGAAGAGCAGCCTACTGCTGTATAGTTTTGGGAACAACCATGCTCTGGGAAAGCTAACAAGTAGGTCTGCCTAAGAGACTTCACATTCTCAGTTTAAACTGCAGTTTTCCTTTTTTGTAAAGATTTCATCTTTAATATTAAATCTTTTAATCAAATATTTCTTTGTCAAAAACAGAATTTTAGAAAATGCTATCCTATGGAAATCTTTTTTATACTTGCAACAGAAATAGTTCATGACAGTATTATCAGTGTAGTGTGGATGCATCCCCCACCCCCAAGAAAATGCACGGTTTCAACAGAGCACCGTTCCTCCAGACCAGTTACCAACACTAACTATTGCTTTCTTCCTCAAAGGGCAGCAGCCGAGTGGAGCTCAGCGGGCACAGCACAGCCCCAAGTTCAGTCCCCAGTACTACAAACCAGGAACCACTTCTGTCCCTTCCTTTTTGTCCAACTCTCAGATCAAAGTTCACCTTGGTACACAATGACAATAGATCCATCTCTATTATTTCCTTCTAGTTTTCAGAGTCTATTATATTCTATTTCACATATATCCCTGCAGATGTATGTGTGCCTTTGTGTAAAGTATATAAAAAATTCATTAAATTAGAAATAAAGGTCTAACAGTACTCCCCCAACACAAACTGGGTAGCTGTAGACTAGAACAGTTTTTTAAAGTGGTATCACATGTGTGTAAACACACACACACACACACACACACACACAGAACAATGGTGTAAGACTTCCAAATGTGCAATGATCAAATATCAAATACATAATAGTTTAGACGTGTTTCTGTTCATAGTCACATATTACATCACTGCAGCCTTGATTCAAAACATACATGTACACTGTATGACATCATGCCTGCTACACCATCAAAAGGTGTCTCAAACAGCTGTTTAGATTGGTACCATTGTATGAGCTAATGTTTTCTGATCTTACAGAAAACGTGATTAATTATAGAAAACAGAATTTCAGTGTTTCCCTACAGTTAACTCCTCAGCATGTAATTAAACTAGTTAGTTACCCTTTGGACTGTACTGTAATTTGTTGACTTGAGTTTCATATAAAAAAACATTAAATGAATTTTGGCTTGGAATTACAACAGAATTTCCAATGATTTCTGATATAATTCAAAATATACTTCTGTCACTTTGAACTATATAAAAGTGATGTTCTCAGTATTGATGGCTACGAAATCAAACCAACTCTGAAAAATGTTGGAGATGCTCTGTCCTGCAGTGTAATATATTCAGCCAAGATTTGATTCTTTATGTGAAAATAAGTGAGCACATCTATCTCATTAGCATGCAGATGTGCTTTAATCTTCAATCAATGTTCAATTTATATCTGTACACCAAAAAATGCCTTAAGATCTTTGATTTATTATTAGTAAATGTTTGAGTGGTATACTTATTTATATGCTTGAGGCTGCATGAAGATTTCTCAGACAAAAAGGGGTTACAAAGGAAAAAAGTTTAACCTGTGCTGGTGAAATGTGAAGAGATGGTGGCCAGGGTTGTCCCCCACAACTGGCCTGTTTCCCAGCAGAGGCAGCTAAGCTGCACTGTGACTAAAGGACAGCTACCTGGAAGGACTCTCTCCCTTCTGACTTGCTGATGTGGCTCCATTCCACTCTTTGTGCTTCCATTCCACTATCTCCCCTGATCAACCACCCTGTGCATGTCTGTGAGCTTCCAGGGAACTTCTGAGTTGTGATTAGCATGGTGTAAAGAGAAAGTATTTGGTCAGTGTCTGGAATGGATCTTTTTAATGACTGGAGAATGTTAGCTTTGTAAATTCATGGTTTTGGGTTTTCTGAGATGGGTATCATGCTGTAGTCCCAGTAGGATTCAAACTCATGGTAATCTTCCTGCCTCAGCTATCCAAGTGCTGGGATTACAAGCATGAAAGACCATGCCAAGTGCAGTTCATGGTTTCAAACAATGACTTAGATGGAGGTAGGCATATCAATTGCAGGTAATAAAACCTAGGCAATATAGTAGACATTTATGAAGAAAGAACCAACAAATGTGATAATCTGGAATGATGGCCAAGTTTCACAAGTCTACAGGCTTGTAATAGTATTGGGGGGCGATGGAGCCAGGAGGGTCTTCATATTGTGATTCTAGCTACTCCCAACAACTCAGAAGTGCCTGGAAGCTTATTCTGGGCTCATCTCTTGAGTCCAGCCTTCGAGCTCAAAGTGGAAGGGGGAAGAAGAGAGGAGTCCTTCAGCAGATGGGCTTTGATTTGAACATTTACAGTATAACCTCTGGCCTTTCCTGGTTCCCTGCCAAGGGCGTTATATTGCTGCCAACTCTTGCCTTCACCTCTTCACATTTCTCTCCATGTGCCAGGCAAAATCTCGACTTCCTTTCTTTCCTACTCCTGGTTGTTCAGGTGCCATGAAGTTGGTTGGGTTTCCTTGCCTTTCTCAGTCCTGGGGTTGACCTCTATGCAGGCTTATCTCAAACAAACAGCATAGTTTTTCCTTCTTTTTGTTTTTTCCATAGTCCTCCCCTGGGAAGCCCTGAAAATCACAGGCTGCCTGTCCTGGGTGGAGGGGTATTTTAAATTCTAATGCCATTAAGCTTTTATTTAAAGCTTTTAAAGGAGGGAGTGCTGAAAGATGGCTCAATGTGATATTAATACCTATGGAAAAGCAGGATAACAGTGCTAGCAGAGGTAAAGACAGCCAGTCCAGTCACTCAGTGAGCTCCAGGTCCAACTTGATGAGTAAAATTCTTTAAAAAAGTAAGGTGGGTAGCAATAGGGGAAGAAGCTGATGTCAGTGTCTGGTTCTACACATCTGGAAGAGAGCATCTGGATACTCATGCACCACACAGGCACAGCTGGAGGTATGGACTTGGGGATTCACTAAGTTCCTGTAACACAATGACCAGTGAACCAGGATACACAACAAGGAAAGGATATCTCTTCAATAAATGGTGCTAGGAAAACTAGATATGCATATTTATAGAAGGATAAAATTGGATAGGCAAACATAAGATCTGAAACTATTACACTAGAAAGAAATGGGAAAACATGACAGTGGAGTAAAAAATGCTTTTTTGGTTTTTTCTTTTTTTTTTATAGGATACAAAGCAAAAAACAAGTAGGATCAAATCAAACTAAAAAGTTACACAAACTTTTGTGAGCATAGCACACAGATGGGAGAAAATATTTACACAGACTCAGTCTGGTAAGGGATTAAAATCCCAAATATTTAAACTCAAAGAATTCACAGCAAGAAAACAAATAACCCAACTTTAAAAGTGGGCAAAGGCCAGGTATGCTGGGCTAAGGAAGCAGGATCATAATGTCAGCTTTGGCTAAACAGAGAGAGCAAATGGTCAGAACAGATATTTCAAAGTGGTGCAAATGAATAACAAGTGCATGAGAAAATGCATCAGTAGAGGGAAAAACTCAATCCAGAGATATCTAAATTCATGCTGGTTGGAGCACAAAAACCATTGTTGGTGGGAGTGTAAATTGCTATAGCCACCTAAACACTATGAAGTACCTCAAAAGAATGAAACCATAACATCCTTATGCATCCAAAGAAACAGACGCTGTCAGCGGGATTTCTGCATCATGCAGGCCATGATCACAATAGCCAAGATATGAAACCAACAGAAGGGTTGATCATGGGTGAACAGACAAAGAAAATGTGACATGATGAGAAAACATCACAACCTATTTGTAATAAAGCAAATGAACCTAGATTTAGTGAAACAATCCTAATAAGGAAAGACAAATATATATATATCCTGTCTACTCACTCACATGATAGTACACGACTGTCTATAAATCCAGTTTCAGGGGTTCTGACACCCTCACACAGACATAACAATGCACAGAAAAAATAAAAATAACTCATTAAAAGGAAAAATTTATTTTTTAAAAAATAGAACTCTTGGACTACATCAAAAACAATTCATTCTAAAAAAAAAAAAAAAGACTACCGGGGGGCCTGGTGAGATGACTGTGGGGGTGGGGTTGGAGTGTGTGGTTAGAGGTGCAGGCCTAATAGCCTCAGTTTGCTCTCCAGAACCCTCAAGGTCTTGATCCGTCCTCTCCTTACACACATTCCCCTCCCCCCAAGTAAGTAGAAAAAGACTAACTGGATGTGATGGTGTCATAGTCACTGTTCTATTGCTGTGAAGAGACACCATGACCAAGGAAAGCATCTAACTGGGGCTGGCTTCTAGACTCAGAGGTCAGTGCACTATCATTGTGGAAGGGAGCACATCCTGACCTGCAAGCAGCAGGCAGAGACAGAGACACTGGGCCTGGCTTGGCCACCCAAAACCTCAAAGTCCAGTGACACAGCTCCTCCAACAAGGTCACACCTCCTAATCCCTCCCAAACAGTCCATCAACTGGGGACCAGCCATGCAAATATATGAACTTATGGGGGCTATTCACATCCAATCTACCATGACAGTGCACACCTACAATCCCAACACTGGGAAGGTAAGGCTGGAGAAATGCTGCAAGTTTGAGGCCAGACTGGGGTAGTAAGAATAAGCTCGGCCTGGGAAACAACCTCTCTAACACACACTGAAACTAGCTGTCAAGAATGTCAGATCCAAAACATGACCAGACACAGTGGTTCAAAACTATAATCCCAGAACTCAAGAGGCTGAGGCAGGGGGAATGATAAGAGATTAATGCCAGCCTGGGTTACATCATAATAAGATCTGGCCTCAGTGCGCGCGCGCGCGCACACACACACACACACACACACACACACACACACACGGCTAAGGTAACTCAGCTCATGCCCAAGGCCAGGGATCAGCAGCAGCAACAAAACGCAAGAGTTGAAACAGTTGAAGTAAAGACCAAGAGTCTGAAAACTCAAAATTAATGGAACCCTAAAGTTTGAACTTTAGGATTAGGGCATCTGAACTCAGATGGAAGGAGAGATACAGAAACAAAGGTCTTATGCTACTGTCTGTTCTTTTCCATACCTTTGAATATTTTTATAATTAAACATGTTAAAGATTTAGAAAAACTGACAAGAAGGAGCTTTAATGAAAGAATGAACTTACATACAGCCAAATAAATTCTTAATGAAGATTTTCAAAAACTGGTAAGCGATACACATTTATAGCTGGTACCCACACACTCTATAAACAACACACACTAATAGCTCCTCACTTTTACTAATTTGTCCTAAGGACATTATCAGAAAAATGTGCAAAAAAAATACCATAAAATGTTCATTACAGCAGAGGACTGGTTAAATGAATTACACTGTATCTAGGAGTGATTACTATACTTCCATACAAAAATAGAATGGTCAGAAGTAATAGAAATTAGCTTTTGGCAAAGGCAGCCATCTTCCAGTATTCCCCCAAAATGACAAACACAAAGGAAAAGAGGAAAGGTACCTACCTGCTTTTAGGCCTTTTGGGAAACAAAGAGTTGTTCCTTTGGACATAGCCATGCAAGTTAACAAGAAGGGTGCTACAGATATCAATGGGGTACTGTTCAAAAAAGAATGTCACCATGGCAGAACTAGAAGAGTCTACACACCACCCAGCATGTTGTTGGCAATGTTGTAAACAAGCAAATTAAGGACAAGATTCTTGCACACTGAGCACATTGAGTAAGAGCAGTAAGATACTGTAAGAGCTGAGATGGCTTCTGAAATGGGTGAGGGAAGCCAAGAGGGCACCTGAGCTCAGCCACCAGCCTGCCTCACCTGAGAAGCACACTGTGTGAAAACTAATGGGAGAGAGCCTGTGCTCAATGCACAAAAAAAGAAAAGCTCTATACTGTTAAAAATACGTATGTATATGTAAAATAAAGACATCTGGGGCAAAGCAAAATGTCTACATTTTATTAAGTAAAACAATCATTCCAAAAAGGAACTATAGTCTCCATTTAGGAAATTCTCTTTACAAAAATTTAAAATCTACATATATTGAAATACTGAGTTGTTTAGGTGGCAGTATTTTTGATTAATTGGAACTTTCAAAATTTTCTAAAATAAACATGAGTATAATAAATTTTTAAAAGCTTTCAAAAATTCTTATTTCTGAGCTTTTCTTCCATACTAAAATAATGATTTGTGGTTTATATCCCCTATAAAATGTAAAACCATTAGTTTTTACAAATCCTAGATTGTCTAACAGAGAGACTAGTTTACTTAGATTTTTATTAAGTTCTAGTTAGTTCAAGAAATTAATACTATCATTTCATTATACATTAAAAAGAACAAACTCATATAAAAAGCTACACACATGTAAAAATATGACCAGCAACGATGACATTCATATAATACATTTTTCTTATTTTATTTATTTCTTATTTATATCTTAAATTCTTTTTTTTTAACTGACAGATGTGTGGTGCACATCTTTAATCTCTGTATGCAGGAGGAAGAGGCAGGTGGATCTCTTTGAGTTCAAGACCAGCCTGTTCTACAGAGTTTCAGGCCAGCCAGAGTTATACAGTGAGATCCTGTCTCAAAAATATAATATAAAGAGTAAGCAAAGAATTCTGTTTTCTCTGAGAGGTCTTATTAGATGGCTCAGGTTAGTCTTGAACTCTCAATCTTCTTCTTTCAGCCTCCTGAGTGC